TTCTGGATTTGACTTGAAAGAGCATTGTCTTTGACTAATGTAAACAGCCTTTAGAGTTAATCTAGTTTCTGGTCAGCAAATATAGACAGACGTAAACAGATGTAAACATTTATCTTGTCACTGCCACAGTTGTTATCAATGTCAGCAGTTTACAATTTCAGTTCTCATTAGCAACTTTTAATTACAGTCCAGCAAGCAAGTAGTAAATGATGTAGTCATTGCCGGCCTCAATATTTTAGAATGGTGTCTCCAAAATGATTAGCTCTCATTCATTCATTCCTTTCATTTAATTCCATTCATATACACACATATCAAAGCCGCACATCATATTCTTGTGACATGTTCATCTTTGTACAAAGGTTTTTAGTAAAACCTTTCCCACACACATGTTGTATTGTTAGATATTCTGTCTTAGAGCATCAATTTTGATGTTTTATACTGTTTTTTATTGGTGGCATTGAATTGTTGCCAACAATTCAATGCCAATAATAATAATAATAATAATAATAATAATAATAATAATAATAATAATAAATCAAACTACTTATTGCATATGAACCATTGCTCTGCATTGCTCCTCTGTTTCCTCATTTTGATTATATTAAAAACTTTTTGAGGGGCTTTGCTTTTGTTGTGCTGCTTTATATTTCTTTGTACACAATATCTCATTTTCCAGTTTAGAATTGAGTATGTTTTTCTCTATGTTCTGCTAGTTCCATATTCTACAACTATGTAAATAACAATTAAGAAAACTATATAGGTACTGAGATTACTAAAAGTGTGTTTCTGCCTGAGAAGGAAGTAAATGGTGTTTCCATAAGAGGCATGAAATGTATTGCTTGAAAATCCATGCAAGATGCTTTGACATCTTAAAGTAGAATATCCTATGAACATCCCTCTTTTACACAAGGCAGTATAAATACAACAGCAGTAGTGAATTGATTAGTAAGGTTTTGCTGACATTTCAGGATATCCTAAATCTGTCTCACTCTGCTCAATGGCAGTGCTGGCCACCCAGTCACCTTGTGTGGAAGTCAGAGGGATAGAAAGAACATTATTGAAATGTCACTTTGCCACAAAGGCCGAAAAGAAGACAAGATTGGCACCTTTGGTCAGCCATGAAGCCGAAAAAAATGGAGACAAAAACTTTATGAATGGGATGGGGAATCCAATTCAAGGAGAGTCGATTTAATCACTTGAGCCATGCAGACATCCTTCCTGCATCATGCAGGGCTATTCAAAGTAATGCTTCTGGTTATTTGAACATTTTTTTCATGCATGAATATAGGTCACTGCACAGCAGCAACTTGGATTTACTTAGAGTCTGGACAACGAATATGTGAAAGGTTAATATGAGTATGATAACAAAAAAATGACTCAGATGCATCTTACCTTGTGTCATGTGTATGTATTCTGGAGTCTTCCTTTTTCATCTCTGAACTGCTTCCTTCCTACTTGTCTTTTGTTGTTGTTAAGATGAAATACTTATAATAGTATTTGCAACATTTGTACAACATAGAAAAGCTTTCCCTCTCCTCCACCCCATTTTAGAATTAATTCAAGGCTATTTGTTCTTGTCATAAACTTTGAAAAGAGATGTGTGATCAGCGTGGAAACTGAAAAAGTGAGCCTAATGGACTCCCAGAATCCCCCAGCTATTGACTGTGCTCTATGGGGTTCTAGTCTCTGGGTAAGAGGACAAATGTGGTGTAATCAATTGAGTATTGCACTAGGAGACCAAACTGCAAATCCTGCCACCCCTCAGCTGTGGAAATCCACTGACTTTTCTGAACTTTTGGCACAGGAAGATAGGAGAAAGACTGGGGTGGGTTACTTTACCATGAAAGGCCTTTTGGCTCTGGGATTGTTATTAGATAAAGGGAAATGTCTCTTCATCCACTTTCTCCACATTATGTATAACTTGTATGATCCCATGTGAGTCCTAAGGGCTGTGGCTTAAAGAGTACAATGGTGAAGTCTGGTGCACCATTTAATATCTCATTTGTCTAACCACATCTGCAAAACATTCTGGAAGTCACACTCCTTGAAATCACATGTCGGAAAAAGAAAGTTAGGTCATTTGTTTTAAATGTAATTTAAACAGAAATTGAACCTACTCATGTCTATGACCAAGAGACCACCACTCCCAATGCATTTAAACTATCAGTATGCTTTGAAAAATAAATGCATTCATACTGCATTCAAAAGTCCATTGGCAATTTCAACCTAAGAAAGTGTGCACCTAGTCAACCTAGTCAGTGGTTGCAATCTTATAATACCTGAGTGCAAGTTCTATACAATTATGTGGGGCCTGTTAAAAAGGAGACATATACTAAATTGGGTCTTCAAAGCCCTGCAAACCCAAGGGAATTAGCTGTAGACAGGAACTGTTACATATTTGTCTAATCTCGTGTTGTGATGTAGCTATTTTCAAATAACTCTCCATTGAGACAAGCAATACCAGTTTTGCATAGATTATGATTGGAGTATTATTCAGCTACTCCCAATCATAGAGTTGCCTGAGCTCACATGGGTCTGCTTTGGGTTTTGCTCCTTTGCTAATCACAATGTGCTGAGTTTGATGACCCTGTAGCCAATTCAAGATTAGTAAGAAAGCAAGGCTATAAGCACATCACACTCAGGGTGAGCCCATAGTTATAAAATTGGAGGAAAATATTCAAAAGAGAAGAAATGAGAAGAAACTTTCTTGAGATCTGAGCATGTTATCTTCTTTAGGAGGGCAAATGAGGGATTTGCCATGAAGTATCTTGGAAGAATGCATGGCTAGTTGGTTGGATAGATCAATTCAAGACCACAGACTTCTGCTTAAGGCCCTACTTTGTTCATACTCTGAGGACCAGCTTAACGTAGCAGTTTGAGCATTTCACTATGATTCTAGAGACCAGGATGCAAATACCCACTGCCATGAAACCCACTGGATGATCTTGGGCCAGTCATGCTCTCTCAAAATTGGCAGAAGACAAGATCCCCTTTCTGAACAAATGTTGCCAAGGGTTATCTTCAGTTGGAAATTGCTTGAAGTTACACAACAATGAAATATATACCCCAAAAGCCAAGAATCATAGAATCCTAGAGTTTGGAGAGACCCTAAGGACCATCCAGTCCGGCCCCATGCTGTGTAGATGCACAATCAAATCACTCCTGACAGATGGTCATCCGGCCTCTGCTTAAAAACCTCAAGAGAAGGAGACTCCACCATACTCCTATGCAGCATTCTCCAAAGTCCAACAGCTCTTACCCTCAAGAAGGTCTTCCTACTATTTAGGTGGGATCTGTTTTCTTGCAATTTGAATTCTCTGCAAGGTTCCTCTACTTTAATAAGAAATAATGTAATTTATTTTCTTATCAGAAATTTTAGACATAAACATGTACTTTAAAAGACTGTTGTGTATTACATCCCGCTCTTCATATATATGCCGAAAATACATATAAATAGTTTGCTTCAGACTATTATTAGAAACAGATGGGTTCTCTCCCTCATCCGTAACATGTTCCTATCTTGAGCTGGTTGAAAAAGAAAACTCTCACATCATTTAGAATCCTTTTCATATCTGACGGGACCTTTTTGCAGAACAGCAAGACCACATGTTATGCTAATTCCTTAGCATGTGCGTAAAAGTATGTCACTAATCCATTTTATTTGCTCTTCTTTAAACTATGAACAACAAGTTATAACAGTGCATTTTTATGTTTTCGTAGCCAAAATTTTAAATTGTTTCTTAGTCAGCCAGATTCCAAGTGCCCTCTCTCAAGCTTGAAAGATTTGTTAGGTATTCACAGAGCAGGCATGTTTAGGACATCCTATTTGTATAAAGGGGTTGGCTTGGCTTCAGCACCAGAAATCCTTGGACAGCAGCCATGGCACCAGTTTTCTGACAGTGTCTACCCCTGGCATCTGGCATAGATCTTCTATTGGTTTTTTGTGAGGATTTTGTCCTGTTTCTCCAAACTGTGTTCTCCTTCTGCAAGTAGTGTGTCATTTTCTGTGCATTTAATTGCACCCTGTACCCTAGAACTGAGTATTTAAAGCAAGGAGTATGGGAGAGGGTACACCTTGTTTTTAAGCTGGACCTTTTCCCAGGAGCTCTATTTGCTTCAAAAATAAGGCACATGCTCTCAATGTCCTTTGTTTTCAAGTGAAAATATGAACTTTTCTCCGCACATCACATAATGCCAAAATGAATTGGTAAATCAGAAAAAGAGAAACAAGAGTGCTGAGTGCACCAGGGTAGCAAAAGTATGCTGTGCAGAAGGGTCCTATATGCTATGTGTTGTTCATCCCATCTCCAGATAAAATATCTTTTGCCTCAAGGCTGAAATGTTGTTTTGACATTAGTTTACTGTCCTACATTAAGCAAATGGGCATAAAGATCATGCACTCTCCATTGGTTCCCTCAATGTGCTTATGCAATGGGTACATCTCATTTGGCAACTCTTGCCTTTGAGATATATGTGTAGTGGGATGACATCACATTGAGATGAAGGAGTCCTGAGATGATAGACTCAACTGTACTATCACAACTGAAACCTTCTGAAGTCCATTGTTCAAAGCAGCAACAATCCAGATGGAGGAACACCCTGAATTTCGGTCTCTTTTTTTGCTGTGCCTTAATTTATTTCCATGTGAGTGAGGGTTACATAGAGGACCACACCAAAAAGGGCATCCTTCCTCTCAACAGCAGTAAAATAGCTACTGACCTTCACTAAATTTGAATAGGTAAAGGTAAAGATTTTCCCCTGACATTAAGTCCAGTCATGTCCAATTCTGGGGGTTGGTGCTCATCTCCATTTCTAAGCCAAAGAGCCAGCATTGTCCGTAGACACCTCCAAGGTCATGTGGCTGGCATGACTGCATGGAGCGCTGTTACCTTCCTGCCAGAGTAGTACCTATTGATCTACTCACATTTGCTTGTTTTCAAACATGCATACAGACAGATTCCTACTAATTCCTTCATGCATTCTTTCATTTCTCTTTTCAGGAAAAAGTGCTGTCAGGGCTATAAGTTTGTTCTTGGACAATGCATCCCTGAAGGTATGTAATTAAAAGGTTCCTTCACCTCCCACCTTTGTTATTGCATTAGCTCTGTCCTAGATGCCTGGACTAGTAAGAAATGCAAGATCAGTTATTCACATTGTAAATATCATGCCGATGTTTAGGCCAAGCTTTAAGGATGCTCTCCGAGGTTCTAAGCTTGTTCAGGGGTTAAGTTCCAGTACCTTTGGCACTTCCTTTCAATTTCAAATTGAGTCCTCATGTGGATTCATCACCCCATTCACATGAAAGCTACCCACCGACATTGGTGTGTGTATGTGCTTCCATCATGTGGCTTTTTTCAGGCTTTGAGTCCTTTATAATACATTCCTTCCATTCCTTCCTGAAAAAAAATATTAGCAAAAATACCAGCACTTTAGATAGGCCCTTTAAAGTCTGGACTAAAACCCATAAAGGCCAGAGATTTATATGAACAATCAAGCCTAATGGTCACAATCACATTCCCCTTTGTGAGTGTAAATTAACAGTTTTGAATATTTGCTTGATACACGTGGGTTAGCATTCCCTTTTGATTTGCCAACAGGATGGCCAATTGTGAAGTATTAGGAAGCTACATTGTTCCCCTGGAGAACTTTGAAGGGCCATCTTCCTGCATAAAGAATGAGGGGAAATGCTCTTAAAAGCCACTATTCTTTTTTGGGGGCGGCAGGGGTGGTGTGGGGGGAGCTACAATCTGTGAAATACTACCACTTTCACAGTATGGCACCATTGCAACACTAGTGGGCATTTGGGAACATGAAAATAAAAAATATTAGATTCTGGGGAAGTTCAAGAAACTCGCTTTCTCTACATCTGCTCAAAACCAGGACAACGTTAATCTTTGTAAAAGATATCGAGCTTTCTTGCTAGTAGATATAGTATATAATAGAGGAAGGAGGGTTAGAAGGATTCTGATTCAGAGAAACTGAAGTTCCAATCTGCAGGTGACAATGCCACATGATATGCTGAAGAAGGCTATTTGGCATCATCCTATTGCTCTGAGGCCAGTGTTCAGCTCCCTGGACACCTGTTACCAGCTTGTGTCTCAACTTGATCTCTGCTACACTTTGTTCAGCACAGCTCCAACACTTCTTATAGACATCTTTTGGGATCCTGTTGGGGAGTTATAAATGAGTAAACGTTGTTATATCACTATGCTATGATTCTGGGTCCCTCCTCACCCCCAATCTCCAATCTTTCAATTGAGTTAGATCACCCTTGGGGGGGGGGGAGGCAGTCCAAGGATTCAAGGAGGTGGGGGCTGCAAAGCAAGGGGGAAATTACATGTGGCCTCAGGTGTGTCCTTTGCCTGCTCTAGAAGTTGCCAGAGACCAACTCTTTTCATCTTTATCCAATGGCTAGGTACAGTGGAATCTGTAGTTCAACAACTCTAGGAGGGTTATATGTTCTCCTTTAAGGGAACCAGATATTTAGGCTGAGATTGTGGATGGTGAAAACATAATGTCAATTTTAATCATATGGAAGTGTGCTTTACCTCCTTTCTTAAATGTAAAGTTTTCCCCTGACATTAAGTCTAGTCATGTCCAACTCTGGAGAGTGGTCCTCATCTCCATGCCAAAGAGCCTGCATTGTCCGTAGACACCTCCAAGGCCATGTGATCAGCATGATTGCATGGAACACCATTACCTTTCCACAGAAGTGGTACCTATTGATCTACTCACATTTGCATGTTTTTAAACTGCTAGGTTGGCAGAAACTGGGCCTAACAGTGGGAGCTTATCCTACTCCCCAGATTTGAACTGCCAACCTTTCAGTCAGCAAGTTCAGCAGCTCAATGGTTTAACCTGCTGTGCCCCAGGAGGCCTTTTATTCCTTGTTTCCTAAATGCACATTTTAACTGCAGGACCTTCACTCCATTGCCTTTCAGCAAAAGATGGAGAGCGGGGGGCATCAGAGAAGCATCCGTCTATGTTACTGTAGCCAAATGCAAAACAATGACATCATCCATTCTGTGGCAATCTAAGTAGATGATGTCATTGCTCTGCATCTGCTGTAGGGCCACAGGATTTCATTAGGCTTGGGTGAGATTTGATCCTTGCTCAAGGTCATCAGCGAATTTTGTCCTCTGCAATGACAACAAGAAAAAGACCCAAAGAAAAGAGCAAATTATGATGACGTAAGTTGGACTTTTGCCGTTGCAAATCACCAATAGGCTGACAGTCATGTTTTAACTCTTATGGGATCATTACACCTCTTCTGCAATTTGGTATGGATGAGCTCAGCCTGTGGTTCATCATATACTGAAGCTTTACACTTACTGTGTGTTGTTTGGAATGGTAGTGTTTTATGGACCATACATTCTCTGCTTTGGCAGTTGATCTTGTACCGTTACGAGTGGTATCCTGCCAAGACAGATGCATCTACTTAACTTGACACACTCTTGCTGTGAAACAAAATGTGCTATAGTTAATGGATAGACTCACCTTGATTTTATCGGGTTGAATTATAGCCGGCAGATGTGCTGGTCACTGCAGTTCAAAATATTGGCAACCAGACACAGGTTTGATGTTCATGTGTTGGGTCAAAACCAAAATATAGATCAAAATCTTAGGAGGCGACTAAATGCAGTCAGTGACTTCACCTATCTTGGCTTTGTTGTCCACACTGAGAAAACACTTCTCACTGAAATGGGCTAAAAGCAAGTTTAGGAATGGGACATCCAAAAGATAGTGGACAACATTACATCTTCTGCATTCAATGAGACCTCCTAAGTTAAAGCCGTCTTTGGAAATATGCAGAAAAAATACTTGTAATTGGTTATTTAATCCATATCCTATCTTTTTACAAAAGGGCATACAAAGTACAGGTTAAAAACAAAATCTTGATTCAAACATGATGTGAGATCCAATTAATTGAAAACAATAAAATATGGAACTAGCTGGATCCTCTTCTATGCAAAGGTATTTTGGAATGAAAATATGCTTGCCTGCTGTCAAAAGGAGAATAGAAAGGGGGAAGCACCATTCTTCACTGAGAAATAATTCCAAAATTAGGGAGCAAGTACTCATCCCAAAGGCTTTTGCCCACATTTCGGCCACTCTTCTTGAAGAATATGAATTTGTGGTGGAATTCAGAAGTGATAGTATGGAATTCTGTTGCTTTCTCTAAAGTATACTTCCATAAGGAAAAACAGTGCTACATGAATGGAGGGATACATATTTAACAATAACAATAACAACAACAATAACAGCAACAACACTGTGTTTATATTCCATTCTATCTCCTCAGAGCAGATTACAACATACACAGATAGGCAAACATTCAGTGCCTTTAATACAGTGGAATAACAATGACACATAAATACACAGAACAAAGGTAAAGGCTTCCCCTTTCATTTCTGGCTTTCTGGAGGTGATGCTCAACGCTGGCCATTGGGAGGTGCTCTTGTTTCATTTCCAAGCTGAGGAGCCTGTTGTCTGTAGACACCTCCTGGTCATATTGTCAGCATGGCTACATGAGCACCTTTATTACTTTCCTGCCAAAGTGGCACCTATTGATCTACTCACATTTGCATGTTTTCGAACTGGCAGGAGCTAGGGCTAATAGCAGGAGCTCACCCCAACCCATGAGCCCCCGGTGGCGCAGTGGGTTAAACCCCTGTGCCGGCAGGACTGAAGACCAATAGGTTGCAGGTTCAAATCCGGGGAGAGGAGGATGAGCTCCCTCTAACAGCTCCAGCTCCTCATGCGGGGACATGAGAGAAGCCTCCCACAAGGATGATAAAAAAAATCAAATAATCTAGGTGTCCCCTGGGCAACGTCCTTGCAGATGGCCAATTCTCTCACACCAGAAGCGACTTGCAGTTTCTCAAGTGACTCCTGACACGACTAAATAAAAAAAAAATAAAACCCCAACCCATGGCTTCAAATATTAATGCTTCTCAATGTTAGTAGTGCTTTTCAGCCTTAACTAAATGTATCTATATAAAGAAAGATGCAAAAAACATTCCTTCAAGGATATGTTCAGATACATTAACTAACTCACATCAGTGAACCTCTTTGGCCTGAAGTGCACATAAGTGGAAATGTAGTTACTATAGATTGTGATGTCCCTCTTCCTCTGTTCAGTTTGAACTTCAAAGGAGCTATCCAAGGACCTAAGCCTATTACAAAGGATATCGCTCAGCTTCTTGGATAATTATTTTAAAGTTCAGACTAAAACTAGAGGGGATTCAACAACCCAAAGGCGTGGAAGCCACAAGCACAATCTGGATCTATAGTTCTTGAATCCTATGAAATACCAGTTATGGGCCTGCAAATAACACTGTGGAGGCATATGATTCCTTGTCAGGTTAGTGTTCATACTTTAACAAACTTAATATACAAGTATGTTCTCGTATATATTTTACAGAAATATCAACAGTAATATAATTGAAAAATCATTGACTACATACAATTTTTTTCATCTAGATAAGCAGAGAAACAAACACTTAAAAAACCACGCTTTCTATATTGATTAGTTGGAAAATATAATTGCATCAGAAATGTAAATAAGAAATTCATACATTCTTGTTACTTTTGCAACATTGCACAGTTGTTAACATCAACTACCTTTTCACTCCTTTAGATTATGATGTCTGCGCAGAGGCTCCCTGTGAACAACAGTGTACAGACAACTTTGGACGTGTCTTATGTACTTGCTACCCTGGTTACCGGTATGACCGAGAAAGACACAAAAACAGGGAGAAACCCTATTGCTTAGGTGCGTGGAAATATACCATTTCTGAACTTTCTAGTTCTTAACTATGATCAGTGATGTTATGGTTTGTGGTTTCACAGATAAGCAATGAAAAACTTTAGAAGGAGGAAACCATGAAAATGAACAAAATCTGGCTATCAGTATTAAAAAACTCTAAAATTACAACAGCACAACAATAGAGAGGAAACAAACAAGGACATCTAATCATCTCTCAACAAAAGTTTGCTCCAGGCACTGTCAGGCCATTATATGCTAATCAAGGTGGTCAGTGGAAACATTCACACCTAGCTGCAGCAGACAAGAGTCCTTTGTCCCACCCTGGTCATTCCACAGATATATAAACCCTTTTTCCTAGTCCCAACAGACCTCACTACCTCTGAGGATGCTTGCCATAGATGTAGGCGAAACATCAGGAGAGAATGCCTCTAGACCATGGCCATATAGCCCGAAAAAACCTACAACAACTCAACTTTAGAAGTATTTTTGTTCATCTCTAACTGCTTTTCTCTATATACCAATCAGTGTAATTTATGAAGATATCCTTAACAAACCCTATCTTTAGGAATATAAGAAACTGCCTTCTACCCAGGACCTTTCACACCACTTCATTTCAGCACGATGGTTTTATTTTAACAGCTGTGCCAACACCCTAGGGAATCATGTGGTTTGTAGTTTGGTGAGGCAATAGAACACAAATAACTAAAATAAGACTTTCATATTTTGGATGTACCATGAGATGACATGACTTATTGGAAAAGACTATAATGTTTGGTGTTTTATTGTTGTTTTATTGTGGCCTTGGCCTTCGTAAGCTGCATCGAGTCCTTCGGGAGATGCTAGCGGGGTACAAATAAAGATAATAATAATAATAATAATAATAATAGTCTTTCAAAAAATGGCGACCAGACTATAGGTAGCTTGATTGAATCAAGAAAGATACAGCCCAGAGTTGCAAGATTTGTGTGGGACAGTTGGGTTCTTGATGGCCTCTCATTCATAGACTCACCATAAAACAAAGTTGATTTGATGGAAATAACAACAACAACAACAGAATCTTGTACTCCTTGTCAGTCACAAGGGCAAACAGGGCATAGGGTTACAACTTGTGCTGGATGGGGTTGCACTCCCCCTGAAGACACAGGTTTGCAGCTTGGGAGTGATTCTAGATTCATCAGTGAGCCTGGAATCCCAGGTATCGGTGGTGGCTAAGGGAGTTTTTGCACAATTAAAACTTGTGTGCCAATTGTGCCCGTACCTTGGGAAGTCTGACTTGGCCATGGTAGTCTATGTTCTTGTTACATCCCTAATAGATTACTGCAATGCAGTCTACATGGTGTTGCCTTTGGAGACTGTTCAGAAGCTTCAACTAGCCCAATGGGTGGCAGCCAGGTTGCTCATTGGAGTGGCGTACAGGGAGCATACATCCCCTCTGTTACGCCAGCTCCACTGACTGCCAGTCTGCTACCGAGTACAATTCACAGTGCTGGCTTTAGCCTATAAAGCCCTGAATGATTCCATCATAGCTTACCTGTCTGAATCTCCCTCTATGAACCATCATGAAGGTTAAGATCATCAGGAGAGGCCCTGCTCTCGGTTCCACCATCCTTGCAAATGTAACTGGTGGGGAGGAGAGACAGGGCCTTCTCAGTAGTGGCCCCTCGTCGTTCCAGTGACATCAGTGTCCTTTAGAAGAAAACTTAAAACATGGATGTGGAACCAAGAGTTCGAACAGTAGATGCAGCAATCAAGAATGAGACCAATTCTATGTGGCTGATAATGGACTGACCTGGAGTATAATTTTAAACTCAGGTGATTTTAAAATGAATGTGTTAATTATTGATGTTTTAACTAATTGTTTTAATTGTAATTGTTATGTATAAATTTTGTGATGGCATCAAATGGTTGCCTGTTATGACGCCATCCTGAGCCCCCCCCCCCCCCCCCAGGGATGAGAAGGATGGGATGCAAATATATGATATAAATAAATTGTACTAAGAATTTCCCAAACTGCCAACCCCAGGATTCCACGGGATGGACCGTGGCCATGTGATTTGGCAGCAGACTGTTTGTCTAAACTATGCTATAGGAGACCTACTTGCATTTGCATACAGGCAATTCCTTGTCTTCTGAGTGGCATATCAGTCACTGTCTTTCTCAGCATATAATTTGATCTCTTTTAAATGGATATGCTATTGATTGATCTTTTCATACAAGATATTTTACCTACTCATGATCTGGGCTCCCTTCAAATCAAAGGCAATTAGTAAACAATTGAAATGTCACTTTCAGAGCTCAGAAAAGTAACTTTTACTGACTACCAAACCCAGAAGCATCTGTGTATGTGTCTACATGTGTGTGTGTAAAATATAGATCAAGAATGAAGTATCTCCAAGCCCTTATACATTTTTATTTCTAACTATGTCCCCCCCCCCCCTTTAATTTTCATACCTTTTTTTCAGATGTTGATGAATGCACCACAAACAATGAACCTCCCTGTCCCCACATCTGCATTAATACCCCTGGCAGCTATCGTTGTGAGTGCCACGAAGGTTATATTCGGGAAGATGATGGGAGAACATGCACTAAAGGAGACAGAGGTATTGCCCGGTGTTCCTTAAATATATTGCCAGAGAGAGATCTCTATAGACACAAGAGATGTAAAGGTTCCAGTTTACAGTCCTTAATTAAATCCTGAATGGTTAATTAAAGTCAGGGAACATTAATGGAGAGGAATAAGTCCTTGGAGATGCTGAAATCTCACATATATTTCAAGGCTCCCTTCAAATCAGATTGAGATTCTTAAACTTGGCTGTTGTCAATACCAGTTTCTCTTTGTGTGTCATAGCATGAGATTAAAGTATATACACAGCCATCTCTTACTAACCTCCTGTATCAACAGGTCTCCTAACAGGTTCAAGATCATTAATAGATGGCTCCAACGAGTTGTGATATGACTTGCGATCCAGTCAGAGTCTGCACTTTGTCCTATAGGATGGAGTGATCCAACATCACCACACTGACCCCATCTGCCCCATTGTTGGATTTTGACTCTGTAGGTCAATGGTTCTCAACATGTGGGTCCTCAGGTGTTTTGACCTACAACTCCTAGAAATCCCACCCAATTTACCAGCTATTAGGATTTCTGGGAGTTGAAGGCCAAAGCATCTGAGGACCACTGCTTTAGGTGCATCTACACTGTAGAATTAGTGCAGCTTGATACCACTTTAACTGCCAAATAGTTCCAGTACCTCAATGGATTCCGTAGGATTGAGCCATGGCTATTAAAGTGGCGTCAAACTGCATTAATTCTACAGTGCAGATGTACTCTGTGTCAACACATTAAATGCCAGTGTTGTGTTGCACATCATAAAGAGTTACCCTCCAAACTTTGGAATATGTTTCCAAATAGGGACAGGTGCAGGTCACAACAGAAAAAAAAGTTTTGTCTCCCCCCCCCTCCCCTGCCCCCAAATAAGCCAGACTTGGAATGATCTGAACCAAAGCACTTTTGCATATGGATCCAATTAGGCATATAAACAACAGGAATCCTCTTTGAGCTGAAATTGCAACCTGTGTGTCTTTTTCTTTTGAGATTTCCAGCTCATTGCAAGAAAAAGAAAAAAACAGAACTTGTTCTCTGGCCTCTGCTTTGAAACCAACTACTTTAGGATGCCATCCTGTGGCAGATAAAGTTCCTGCAGCATTGCAAAGCTATCCCTAGTTTCCATATGATCTGCTACTAAGAATAGCTGTATCATATTGCAATGTTTAGACCATTGAGGCAGATCTTCTGATAAATTCCTTTTTATGGACAAAGTTAATAAAATGCTAATAAAAAACTTGGTATCTTGCCCTAGCTCTAAACACAATACACAGCATGGAGGAAAACTAATCATTGTGTGTTTGTTCTGCAGCACAAAAGGAATGAAAGCTGTCTGCCTCTCTTGGCCTTTGGAGAGTGAATTAGATCTATACATTTGGCTCTTCCCTGTGTCTAATGTTGGGGAAGATGGGAATTGGGGAAGATGCAGTCCATAAGATGTTAACACATCAAGTTAGGGAAGGCTGCATTAAGGATATAAAGGGAGATTTAAAATAATATGAAGAGCTTGGAGAGGACAGATAATAAGCTCGTGAGGATATCAGGTAGCCAGAGGATGATTAAATATCTCCTTTCCTGGAAAATAAAAGGGGCCACGATGATGCAGTGAGTTAAACTGCTAAGCTGCAGAACTAGCTGACTGGAAGATCGGTGGTTTGAATCCATGGAATGGGGTGAGCTCCCATTGTTAGCCCCAGCTTCTGCCAACCGAGCAGTTTGAAAACATGCAAATGTTCGTAGATCAATAGGTACTACTTCTGTGGGAAGGTAATGGCACTCCATGCAGTCATTCTGGCCACAAGAACTTGGAGACATCTACGGACAACACCGGCTCTTCAGCTTAGAAATGGAGATGAGCACCACCCCCCAGAGTTGGACTCACCTCAACTTAATGTTAAGGGGAAACTTTTACCTTTTGCTTCCTAGGAAGGTGCATCAGGATTTGCTAAATGTGCATCAGGTGTACAGAAGGGTACATAACTACAGCTTTCTTTGTAGCAACATATTGATTTTTCATGTAGGAAATAGCAAGGCCTTAACGTTAAGGTCTAGTACAGAGTTTCTTTTTCATGACTGTTTCTCTAACTGTTTCCCCTGTATCTCTACTCTTAAGGGTCTCCTTGCACAGCAAATACACTCAATGATAATAAAGATGGCTATTGTGCAAGGCAAAGGTCTTATCCCATGGGATATTGGTACAATTTATGATGGATGAAAGTTGGTCCTTGAAGAGGAATAGTAAATCATAATGATTCCATATAGGTCCTGTACAATAAAATCTCAGATAAGAGCAGTGAGGTAAATAGTTTTCCCCCATTCCTGCGATATAAAATGAATTTTACAAAAGGCATTAAAACCTACTAACTGGAAACAGATGCTACTAAGAAGACTGTTTGCAACAGACCTCACTGAGGATTTGTTTTAGCCTTTTGTGGTGATTCATAGCAACAAAAAAGGGGGCGGGTTGTTAATATTGTGGGCATCTTTTCATCTTGTGGAATATCCTCAAAGGAGAATTTTAAAGATTCATCTCCAAACAGCTTTCTTTGGCATTACATTTCTATATTCTCCTTCCCTCCCATTTTTTAAAAATGTGTTGGAATATTTACTCACTCTTTTTGTTGTTATTTTTGTTTTAAGCAGGCTTCTCTGAGAAGACAGAGAATGTGGTGAAACCAGGAGCATGCTGTGCCTCTTGCAAAGAGTTCTATCAAGTAAAACAAACAGTGTTGCAATTGAAACAAAAGGTACAACAGGTGTTTTGTTTTGTTTTGTTTGTTTTAATATCTTGGGTTTTGACAGATATTCTATAGTTTTATTGCAAAAATGTGGAATGAGATATCCATAAAATGGCTCTAAAGGGAGCACTTCTGCAATAAAGTTCATTCCCTAGTGAGGTCATGGAATCACTTTCTATCGAGGCTTAAAGATCAACAGGTTCCCTTTGGGGCATTTTCATACAGATAGGTCATTGGCAGATCAATATAATCATAAATCTAGTAGCATAATCTAAGACCAAGTTCAGTTGAATTTTTCACTTGAAAATTTGTACTATAGTTCTAGGAATCAGCTTTTGAGTAGGATCAAAATGAAACTGGAAGCAAAATTGTGGGAGGAAGATAAGATAAGATAATAATAATAATAATAATAATAATAATAATAATAATAATTTCTTACCCACCTCCCCTTGTGGTTCAAGGTGGGTTACAACATCACTAAATGTTTAGCACAGCTGGTTAATCACCAGCAGCAATAGATATTTCCCAACCAAAAGGTAGGGAGTTTGAGCCCAGTTTGTGGTGAGCACCCAACCTTCAGCCCAGCTTTCTGTCTGCCTAAGCAGTTTGAAAAGAGCTGTTGCTGTGAGTACAGAAATTAGGCACCTCTTAATGTATTTTATAGCACCATAAAAAAGCCAGTGATCAAACAACAAGATGAAAAGTCTGTGATCAGAAAGGTCTTCATCATAGAGGATGAAGCAACAGCACCCCCATGGCTGAAATCGAGCATAACCTCCAGGACGCCAAAGTTGGAAAAATGCCGAGACACATACCTCTGTCTGTCCTGTATGTCTAACGCCATTGAATGTTTGTTGTGTATGTGTTCTGTGATCTGCCCTGAGTCCTGTCACAACTCAGGATAGATTCACCTTGCTCAGAACAACACCACACACCTGGGCTGTAGGTTTTGTAGTTTATTGAAGAAAGATAAAATCAAAACATAGAGATAAGGTTGCTGAAGTTCAAAAGTCAAAACAGGAACTAAAATGCAAGGCAAAGCTTCCAAGGTCCAAAAGCAAATAACATGAATATAATCCACAAGCGTTGGTCAAACCAGAATCCATGGCATCATGACAAAGTCCCAGGAACGAAGATCCAAAAGCAAAGTCCCAAAGAGCTAACAGCTTTCCCCTGAAAGCCGAGGAGATTTCAAGGAAGGTCACAGGGTGTGAGCGAAGATACTCTGACAAAGAGTTGCCTTCAAACAGATAATTAAATATGCTTTGCTAGCATGAAAGCATTACGTTGCCCCCGAAGTTCCCACTTGTTTGCAAGCCAGGTGCTTCAGCATAACCTTAATTGCAAACGGTCCTCCCTACACAGATCCTCATTACTTTCAGGTCTCATGGACTGGCATGTGGAGTAAAACTCTGGGTAACAGAGTTCAAATCTCTGTTCAGCCACAGAAACCTACTAGGCAGGCATTTTACACTTGCTCAGCCTTACAGGAAGGAAGAGCAAACACATTCTGAATAAATCTTTCCAAGAAACCCCTGCAATAGGTTTGCCTTTGGTTTACCATACATCAGAAATGATTTGAAGGTGCTTAACTACTGCTACTACAAACCCAGAGAGTGCTGTATTTGAGCCCTAAAATGCTCCACGTGATGTAGGCAATCTGTAATGGATATAGTGAAAAGGGCTCCATGAAGGTGACACTTAAAATAAATAAATAGGAGACCATCTAGATATGTAAGGAATGCTGTATGTGGAAAAGCTCTACTTGTACATGTGCTTATTTAAATAAGTGTAAGTATGCCTTTAATTAGAAGTAAATATTAGATTGGATCCAGACAATCCATCTCTAAGCCAGTTCAACAGCAGTTCCTGCATAGAAGCTCTCCAGAAGGAGAAGATGAAATGCAAGCAACTGTGAGGGTCAGATCTCATCTCTATGACCGTTCATCCTTTGGAAGATATTCTTTTCTTCTTGAGGGGAAAGATTTGTGAGATCACTTTCACACCATGGATCTGAGCAGGAATTACGAAAGGGAAATATAACAGGAATAATGAAACAATTCCTGGCTCGGATGATAACATTCAACATCAAAAGCACCTAACTCAACATGTAAGACAGATGCTTCTAGATAGGGAAGATGAATTGATTGGACTAGATGGGTGGGCTATTGCATATGGTGTAGGCTTCAAGGCTACATTGACTCATCCGGTTGGCATCTGTTATCGTACATGTATTTTTGGATTAATGCTGTCTGTGATAAATGTTAAAGATAAATAAATGATTCATTTATGGATACTATTGCATCCAAATACACTCAGCAGGAAGAGAACATGTCCTCACGTTTTAAGTATTCTAGCTTTTGGAAAAGAGCCTCATAGCTGAATCTTAGGGCACACATTTAGATTGGGGAGGACTCCAGGTTCTTTCTCTGACCCCCACCTGCCCCTTTAAAGAGACAAAGGACATTATTATACAAATCCACTATTCCACTACACTCACATTAGCATAGACAATGGAACTTACTAGGCTGAGTGCATTCAATATTGCATCTCTTCAGTAGAGAAAATTCACTTATTTTACAGTCCATAGTTTAGTGATCAGACTTCTGTAGATGCTCATAACTCTGCCTTCCTGCCCTACTGCATTTCATTAAATTTGTTGCACAACTGTGCAATTTCAGCCAAAAAAGTCGGAAAAGGGCTTATACACTAGGCCTGGGTAACAACGGAAAAATTTGTTTCTAAACTCGTTTCGTTTTCAGGGGTCTATCGCGTTTCGTTTTTTTAAAGAATTCCGAAATTTTCCTTTTAAAAATTTCGAAATATACGAAATTTTGTAAATTTTGAATCGATTCGTTAATGGCGGACGCGATTGCACAATATGCTAAAAAAACCTCCAAATGGGACAGGGGGAACTTCTGAAGCTTCCCTCTCCCTCTGTTGTTGACTGTTGGTGTGATAAAACAAACAACAACTATAAAACTTGCACCAGGCATGCAAAAATAATTTCAAAATAATTACGAAATAATTACGAAACAATTATGAAACAATAACGAAACAATTTCGAAATAAATTAAAATAATTGTTTTGAATCTAATTTACTCCTCACACTATTCCTGCATGGCTCAATATTGGATCGTAAGCTAATTTAAATACGAATTAATAACGAATTACGAAATTAATGAACGAAACCGCCCAGCCCTATTATACACCCACACACACACACACAACCAATTTGAGAATGGCAAAGAGAAGGGGAGAACCTGGTTCCTTGACATCACATTGCCACTTTCATAGAAAAAGAAGGGATCCATTTCACGTGGTAGTAGTGGGAATGTAATGGGATGGGAAGCTAGTATTGACAGTTTCTACCTGTTAATAATTAGAAATGGGAGAATCCTGAGGCCAGAGAGGCAAACCAGCAGTAGGATGCACATGGTTTCATGCAGTAGGAACCAAAGGTGCACAAATGCACCATTGGTTCAGTTACAACTTTAGTTCATCCACCCAAACGTAGTCTATTCTGAAGATGTTGTTCAAGTAACTATACTCGATTTGCTGGATTAAGGGGTGGGGTGGTTATGAAGCAAGGTGTTGTTCCCATTGTTGCCCCTGCAATGCAAAATATTTGTGCCAAGTCTCACTCGAGGCCACAAATACATGTACAAGGCTTCAATATGTTTCCTTCAAGGTGCCAGACAAGACAGTTTGCTGAGAGTTTTCTTGCAATTGTGAACAGCAGGCATCGAAGGCAAAAAGCTCAAAGCCCCTTTCTTCTCATGGACTGGGTACAATCTAATGAAAACCAGACCTTTCCCACAGGAGTTATTTCTGAAAGAAAATTAGGTGCACATCTCTGAAGTCACACTGTCAACCTCAGAGGAAGGCAGTGGCGAAACCCTCTGAATAAATTTTGATGACAAAACTTAGGATAGAGATTTGATAAGTTAGTTTCCATAAATCAGAGTCAACATAGAGTCCCATAACAACAAGCGTATATCTTGACATGTGAAGTTATGCCTTAATTCTGCCATTCAGTCCATGAGTGACTGTACTGTGCAAGTGACAATGATACATTTTCAACTGAGCATACAAACCAATATATATGTTTCCATGCACAGTGTTCATCCATGTGCAATGTGTAGTTCACATCTATGCTCAATGTACAATGCAAGCTCATGTGCAATGTGTCATGGTTTTCAATTCATGGTGCTCATCTACATGTATAATGACACTTCATGTGTAACATTGAACTTAATGTGGATGTTACACATAAAGGGGAATATTCAATTCTCTTCAAAAGGTACTTATGGCATTACATCGTTTCTGTTTTTGTTTTTAATGTTGATGCGGTCAATAGACTATTCAATAAACTTTGCTTTGCTTTGCATTACATAAGACATCAGCAGTATTCCAAACTCTGTGTGTTCCCAGTCAATGTCTACCATGTTCCTCATTATATCACTTTGGCTTGATAAGGAAAACATCTTCGGAAGCTGGGTCATGAACTGAAATAAATGACAGAAAAAATGCTATATTGAATCATGGGTTTATATACAACACCTCAGCAAAATACATTGAACATGGCGAGCAGCTGTTGATTAATAACACTTTATTTGTTGCAGATCTCCTTGTTACCAAACAATGCTGCTGATATTAGCAAACCCATCACAGGAGAAAAAGTACTTGCTTCCAATGCATATATACCAGGCCCTCCTGGACAGCCAGGTGATCGGGGTCCTCCAGGTAAGGTAACAAAAGAATAAACCCTTTGTACTTATGAAATACTCATTTTGAACTTTACAGATGTATCATATTTCTATCCCATGCTGACGAGCTGATATCAGGAGCAACGTATACCCATCTCCCATAATAGAGGTTTCAATGCCTGGCTTATTCCATCTGTTTTTTCTCCATGCCATGAGCTGTCCAAGGTACTGTTAGCTTAACTTTTCCCATCTTTTGCTAACTGAAAAATCATCCATATTATATGTTTGTTGGGTAATACATGGAACCCACAACATGTATATCACAAACAAATTTGAGAAAGGACTGGAAATTATCCATGTAAACAAATCAGTTCTGCTTCTAGTTTCTCGTTAACATATCTATGTCCAGCAATGTAGGGCAAATCTAAGAGAAAAGAGATTCCACTTAAGCATTAGGAAGGAACTGCTGCCTTGGAGTGTGGTGGAAGCTCCTTTGGAGGTTTCTAAACAGAGACTGGATGGCCATCTGTTGGTAGTACTTTGATTGTGTGTTCCCATGTGGCAGAATGGGGTTGGACTGGATGGCCTTTATGGTCTCTTCCAACTCTATGATTCATATTATCTTAACATAGAAGTGGACTTTCACAGAAGACCAAGAAGACACAACTATCTCATTTTCCACCCTACCCCAAACATCCATAGGCCACACTTAACATTTCCTGAAAAGTTGTAAAGGGGGTAAACAAGTGTGAGGAGACACAAGGTTTCATTCGTCTTTAGGACTACTGGAGTTGTTTGGAGAAGGGAGATTCATCCAGCAACTGATCTACTCAAATCCCTGTCTTATGTAAACCATACTCAGTAATTACTCTGAACCTACTGTCAACTTTCACTGTTGTTTCTGGTTACAGGTGCTGTAGGTCCAAAAGGGAGCCCTGGCTTTCCCGGATCTCCTGGTCCTCCAGGAAACCCAGGCCCTAGAGGAGCAATGGGGCCAATGGGACCATCGCCAGACTTGTCTCATATTAAACAGGGCAGACGGGGCCCAGTGGTTAGTATTCTGCCTCCATACCATAAATACATGCCATCTTCTGGTTATGTCATTACTTGTTTTTGAGGATGGTGGTTATGTCTTACAGGGTCCTCCAGGTGCACCAGGGAGAGATGGAGCAAAGGTGAGTGAGCAAATCTCTTTCTTCCCCCCTTCTCAACATTATGTTTTGTATGTAGTTGTGTTTCCCACATTTGGAGAAATCACAGGGGACAGCACAATTGAAAGTGCTGGCTTTAGCATATAAAGCCCTAAACAGTTTCGGCTCAGTTTACCTGTCCGAATGTATTTCTCCCTATGAACCATCTTGGACCATCCCCTGCTCTTGGTCCCACCTTCTTCACAGGTATGATTGGTGGGAACGAGAGATAACCTTTTCAGTGGTGGCACCTCAACTGTGGAGCTCCCTCCCCAGCAGTATTAGATCAGCCCCCTCCCTCCTGACCTTTAGAAAGAGGGTGAAAACATGGCTTTGACCTCAAGCCTTTGGCAAATAACACAGTGCAATAGATGGACTTGGATTTATATGTAATGATTACTGGAATGGCCTGACTGATTGCGGATAATGTGGTTTTATAGTTATTATTGCAATGTTTTATATGTTTTAATGCTCTTAATCTTGTTTACATTTTTAATTCAAATGTTTATTTAATTGTATATTGGTTGTATATTGTTTTTAAGGCATTGAATTATTGCCTGTGTTGTAAGCTGCCCTGAGTCCCCCTTGGAATCAAGAAAGGCAGGATCTAAATATAGTAAATAAATACATGTAACAAAAAGTGTTTGCTGTATTTGTGGCCAAAGTGTTCTATGGCGGTGATGAATACATTACCTAAAGTTAAACACACTTGACTGTTGCATATTCATGACCCCATGAACAGGAACTCATGAAAATCTCCCAGTCCTTGTTTACATGGTGGCAGCTGTTAAAATTGATGGGGTCTGTTCTTCTATCGATCATAACTCATCTGACAGTTCTCACCCTCTCTGATATGAGCAATCTCTGAAGCAAGGGAGAATTGCATCAGGGCCCTCTTCTGACTGTTGATTCAGAAATTGCTCAAGGGTAGGGAGTGGAAATGGCAGACTCTGTTGATTGCAGAAACTGCTTCCCAGTAAGTAGAGATGGGAATGGTCAGGCCTGGATTCACTGGGTAGCACAGCAATTGTGGTGTTGAGGCATAGATGTCTCCCATATGAGAATCCAGCCAATGTTTGTAATACAGGGTGTCTGTAAACTCTCTTTACCATTTAAAGTCTCTTTCTCATTAATTTGGGAAAGAGACTTTAAGGTCACCCTGTATATAACTGATTGTCCATTGAATATTACTTATTGATATTATATCATTTAAGAATAACACTTTGGGGTCGTGAGTAATCAAAGAAATGCTTGCAGAAGAAAAACAGTGCTGTTTGGAAATATGGCAGAAATGGTAAAATATTGGGAAAAATCCCATTGAACTCAGGGCACTTCTACACTGACATTATAATCTAGTTTGGAACTGAATGCTGCAATTGTAATCCCAAATTTATCCAGTTATCTCAGATGAGCTAAGTTGGTCTTACTTTTGAATAGTGCCTATGATTTTACAGTAAACAATTCAGAAATGTGAAAATAAGATTTGGTTTTATCATAATGGAAAGGACTTTTGATCTAAATCGTCATTGCAGCAAAATCGTAACATGGAATTGATCTGAAAGTTATGATTCAGTTTTGATCAGTGCTGATTAAGCAGAATGGTGTTTATTACAGGGCGAGAGAGGTGCGCCAGGAGAAAAAGGAGCACCTGTAAGTACATTTTATCTATTCAGAGGGAGTTTGTGTGGAATGTCGGGTGTCCATTTATCAACATTATGAAGCTGCAAATAGAAGCAAGTGTAGATTTATTTCCTATACAGCTGAGGTCAAACCAAAAGGGGCAACTAGTATCTTATGCAATTTCCCCATGTCTGGAGAGTATTGTACTCCTAATCTATATTCCCAACATTCTCATATGGTGCTAATGTAATAATGGAGAAATGCAGCATGCCACAGTTTAAGCATATTAGTAGATTCTATGAACATTACAAAAGAGGAAGGGAGGCGAGCAGTATCGTTTTCACTTTATTCACTGTACCATCTAGTTGACAAATTTAAACTCTCTTAATGGGGTCAAAGTGGGTTTCACTGCCAATTATTCCATATTGCATAATAGTGAAATATAGTGTACTTACTTATGCGATCCCTCATAGTCCATGTATAATGGCCTACTAAGTGTAGTGTCTTGGTGGTGGATACGTAGGTGACTGTGGAGCCCTATTCTTGACTCACATGTTCTTCCACAGTGAGGGCATTGGTTTCCAGGTTGAAGGTGGTCCTGATCTGGGTTGGCTTGACATGCCTTCCTCTTGACACATTTCTCCCTTTCGCCCTCCATTTGTGTCTCTTCAGATTCCCCAGCACTGCTGGTCACAGCTGACCACCAGCTAGAGCACTTAAGGGCTAGGGCTTCCCAGTTTTCAGTGTCTATGCCACAGATTTTAAGGTTGGCTTTAAGTCCATCTTTAAATCTCTTTTCCTATCCACCAACATTACATTTACCATTCTTGAGTTGGGAGTAGAGTAACTGTTTTGGGAGACAATGACTGGGCATTCGGACAACGTACCCATTCCAATGGAGTTGATGGTGTAGGAGCATCACTTCAATGCTGGTGGTCTCTGCAATATAGTGAAATATAGTGTAGTTTGATACAAAACAGAGACAGAGGCACAATGCCACCTAAATCCTGCTAATTTGCTTTTGGGTTATAAGGTGCTTCAGTTGTCACAAGGGTGCAAAGTTTTGTAGATACAGTTGTTATTTATGCTGGATTAGAGTAACATACCATATTTTCTAGCAAAGTGGCTATCAGCATGAGATTTGTATGTTCCGTAATTTTGAAATAGAGTGATGATATGTGGACCTTCTCTTCATTCAGTCTGAGAATAACTTGTCCCATTTGTGGCATTTCTAGGGACCACCAGGTTCTTTCGATTTCTTATTACTAATGATGGCAGACATCAGGAACGACATCGCAGAGCTACAAGAAAGAGTGTTTGGGCACAGGACTCACTCCTCAGCAGAAGAGTTTCCATTACCTCAGGAATTTACGAACTATCAAGACATAATGGAGTTGGGATCTGGAGAGGACTACAAACAAAGGACTACATCAAAAGACTCCAGAACGCCCAGGGAAAGCAATCATTAAAAAGAGCTTGCAGCTTGGGGAAAAAAAGTTTTTAAAATGTGGATAGTGATCCGCCAGTCATTTAAGCCAGCATACTTGCATATATCCCAGTTTAGCCCTGTGGAAATAAACAGGAAGTAGAATGGTATGCACATTTCAATGGGATTACCACATTCCCTTCCTCAAGTATTACAGACAGACAAGATTTAAATGAAGAGTGAAATAACATGACAGTCTGGCAGCTCTCATGTGAAATTATCTGTTGCTGGAATTTGCCAGTTCTGGGTGCCAATTGCATAGATGGATGCTCCACTTCTATGTAAAACAAAAATCGTGTCTGCTTGAAAGAAGGGGTCTGCTCTGGAGCTTTTCTTGGCATGCTGTGTTTTGTATGTTGTGAGATGTTTACTTGTCTTTTTTTCAAAAAAATTGAAATGTCCAGATATTTGTTATTTTAGTGCCTCTCTGAAGTGCTGCATATTATATGAGCCTTGCATGGTGCCACTCAAGTCTCAAAAGTGGCATGGTGAGAGTTTTTGTGTAGTTGTGGCAACACATCTTGCTTTAAAGACAGGACTTTGCTAGTGTAGCTCACACAGCATTCCTTCTGTGGCTTTCTTTCTACATTGCTGATACTGGCCAAGATTGTGTTCCATACTGTGAATTATCAAAATGCGTACATACATTTGACATTCCAGCAGCTATTCCACCTGAAATCTGCTGCCTGAGACAACTACTTCACTTTGCTCAATGTTAGCGCTGGCCCTGCCCACAGTGATCCAAGATTGTCACGGATATCTGTAACAACAGGTGTTGTAAAATACATAAATAAGCTTCAATCAAAAGTTTTTGTGGCCTATAAACTGACTTTAATGCAAGTATCATGGCTTGAATGGCTTGCCGATTACACTGTCCAAAAGAGTTGTAGGATATTTCTTTAAAATGCACTGATAATGTATAAAGTTATATATGTATTTTATTGTTCAAAGGTTCCTCTCTTTTTTATTTCTGCCCATTTTCTTTTTTCAGCAGAGATTTTATTTTACCCGAATTGCACACAGAACCACTTGTGTGTATCTGAATAAGAATGAGACCTTCAAGGGAGATCTCAATGTGGAATTTACAATAGATTTGCAGTGGATTTTCTTCACAAAACCTCTTGAAAGGTGTCAGTCTGTAACCATTGTTATTTCGAAGTATTTTTCTAAGCATCACTGCATGATTTCTGACTTCTCAGTTAAACAATGAAATTGCAGTTTTTTTAAAGAAAATGTTTTTGCTAACTAGGCAAGTGTAAGTGTTATCAGTTCATTAACAAATGGCATTTTTCAGCCATCATGTGCTTCCCTTGATAAATTTATGTTCAAGGTACATTATACTGAACACACATGCTGTATAATGATGCTGAGCCAAGAGTCTTCATAGGAGCCCCGGTAGCACAATGGGTTAAACCCTTGTGCTGGCAGGTTCAAAAGGGGGGAGAGCAAGTTGAGCTCTCTCTGTCAGCTCCAGCTCCCTATGTGGAGACATGAGAGAAGTATCCCACAAGGATGGTAAAACACCAAACATCCAGGTGTTGTCTTGGCAATGTCTTTGCAGATGGCCAATTCTCTCACACCAGAAGCAACTTGCAGTTTCTCAAGTCACTCCTGACATAAAAAAGGACTCTTCATACATATTATTAATCCAGTTCTTGGTGTACAAGTTTCCATACCAATCATATGATTGATTAGACTCAATATTGAAAGGAGAAAACAGTAGTGCAGGAATGGGATACAGTTTATTGGTTCACAGAGAATTAGCCCTTTCCGTAGCACTGGCTGTACTCTAGATTTAACTATGTTTTGCACACCATTTCTTTCTCTTGAAGTTGCCTGGGAAAGATCAGATTTTGCCACAGACCTGCATGGCTTCCTTTCAGAAGGCTTGAAAATTATGCCAGTGACCTCTGGGTGATCCACACCTGCTGTATGAGGAATCCATTGACCACAATAAGTTGCTTTCTTTGACATTTTTCTCTATTTCCTTTTTTTTGATAACTGGAAAATGAAACATGCAGATTAGTCTTCAGTTTCTGCTTGATTTAACATTCCTTGCGAAATCCACTGCAATCCTATTTCTTACTCATGTTGTCTCTGGTAAAATAGAAATAGTCTTGTACATCAGCTCTCCTTCTGCAATACTTTTCAGGTTTTTAGAGTTAATTGTAACTTGTGTAGAATTCCAGTTTTGTCCACAGGATAGGATATTATGGCTGGTCCATAGTACAGAATAAAGAATTCAATTTATATGTAAGTACTGGCTTGAGAACTGCATTGCCCATAGGATTGCAGAGTATTTGTAATACTTTAGGAAAGTCTCACCAGCATTAATCAGTTTGACCCAATGCTTTGTTTTCATATTATTATACAACAAGATGTAGGGGCAATCCCTCCCTTCATTCTCTGCACAGTAGACAAGATACCACATTAACCAAAACAGTGTAAAAATCTGAAGTATGCTGCCCCCAGAGGTAAAATGGGTCAAACCACTGAACTGCTGAACTTGCTGACCAAAAGGTCACCGGTTCAAATCCAGGGAGTAGGGGGAGCTCCCGCTGTTAGCCCCAGCTTCTGCCAACCTAGCAGTTTGAAAACATGAAAATGTAAGTAGATTAATAGGTACTGCTCCGGCAGGAAGTAATGGCACTCCAAAGCATCGGCCACATGACCTTGAAGGTGTCTACGGATAATGCCGGCTCTTGTGCTTAGAAATGGAGATGTGCACCAACTGCCAGAGTCGGACACGACTGGACTTCATGTCAGGGGAAAACCTTTACCTTTACCTTGCACTGCAATTCACCATTTCAGGACTCATAGGCCTTCTGCAATAGCTCCCCAGAATGGTCATGTTATTGGAATAGTGAACCTGCTCTGGGCTTTGGCCTGGAGTTGAAAAAGCTGTCCAATGTGCTGAATCTATTTTGGGGATGAGGTTCATTCAGCTTCCTTTGAAGCTGAAACTAAAGCAATAAGAGGATTCATCATCACAATGACATTAAAGCCACCATCTGTTTCTACCCACTTCCAATCTGGCTTGACTGACAATAGCAGTGGTTCTTAACCTGTGAGTCCCCAGATTTTGGGCTTCAACTTCCAGAAATCCTAACAGCTGGTAAACTGGCTGGGATTTCTGTAGGCCAAAAGACTGGAAACCCACAGGTTGAGAACCACTGGACAATAGACCCCTCCCTGTCTCCTGACTCCCTTTAGGATTGGTTTGTAAACATCACCATTAACGGTAGTATTGTTGATTTCAATGGAATTCCTTAGGTTAGAAAATATGGCAACCTCCTCCCATGCATGTTTACTAAGCGATAAACTCCACTCACTTTCAGGAGACTGGTTCTCATATAAAAGAACACAACATCACAGTCTTAATGTGTACATATACTATGTGTACATGTTTATATGGTAGTCAGTAATTTCCAGAGAGGATAGGAAACCTGAAGTAGCTGTAGCTATTTTTATGCCAGGATTCTCCCATTTGATTTAAACCAACTAACCTACAAATAGAAAAGATGAAATAATGCGCTATCATTTTAAAAGGCTCCCTGGAGATCTAAATGCATGTCCAGTCTGAGATCATTTGCAGATATGCAGACAATTAACGTGGATTTTCTCCTCTGCCTATCCCATATTAATGAATAAATAAGAGGTTAAACTAATTACCATTAGATTTGTGCCCTTTGAGGTCTTATTTCACAGTAAATAAACAGAAGCAACTGCACATTAATGATGGGTCCTATAATATCATTCCTTCCTCTATTTTTATGAAAGATACACTGCTTCATCCCTTTGTGCACATTTAGAAAGCTATGCAGCACACAATTATTTATGATAAATATATGAAGTATTAGAGAGTGTATAAAGCTGTGATTATGTATTTGCAATTAAAAGAAAGCTATTTTTCTTAATTGTGTCATTGGTTTCTCTTTCTACTTCCTTTTTATAACAATGGTGATAAAGGAGGGATGAACCTGTTGGGTTTCAACCCTGGACTGCACAAGTGTCTTGTGTCATCATGTCTCCAGTTCTCAATGAGTAACTAGACTAGAGATAGGATTAGGCTGAGAGATTCCTCCCCCCACTCCAATTTCTATGCATGTTTACCAAAAAGGGATTTGTCTTTCCTCCTCCTCACTACTGTCCCCTTTGAAGAATGGAATTTCTATGAGGGATTTCCTTTTTAAAGGTATTTCTTTATTGCCTGGGGCTCACCATGTGGCCTTTCATTGCCATTGTCTCTTCTGCCTTTTCTTCCTTCCAGTGAAGATGCACATTTTGCCTCTCTCTTTAGGCAAAATGTGGCTGCATGGATAGTTCTGACTCTGCAATCCTGTCCCATCCTAAGTAATAGAAGCTTATCCCAGCTCATCACATGTAAGTTTCTGCTGGTTATGAAGTTTGCTTCTGTGCTCTGGTATATTTATGGTGGAATCACTCCAGCGAAGGGTTATTTTTGAGCCTAACAGCTCAGATTCCCCCAACAGAACCAGTGGGGTATAATGGGTTGAGTGCTGGAGTAAGACTCTGTGGGACCAGGATTCAAATCATTTTTTTCTTTCAGTTTTAGATACAAACCACACATTCACACAAAAAATCCTCTTTAAATAGCTCTTATTGACAAGAAGTTCTTCCTAATGTTTAAATGGAATCTCTTTTCCTGTAATTTGAACTGATTGCTCATGTTCTAGGCTCTAGACCAACAGAACAAGCCTAATAATAATAATAATTAATAATAATAATAATAACAACTTTATTTATACCCCGCCACCATCTCCCCAACAGGGACTCGGGGCAGCTAACATGAGGCCAATTACAACAAATCAAAATAAAATACATACAGCAAATAATTACATCAAATGAAATGAAAACAAATTAATACAAAATCAAATACAGGAAATGAAATAAGAAGATAAGAATGTGAACAACGGGCTGAGCCAACAAGAGGGTAGAGTAAAATAAAAACCCTGGGTGAGGTAGATGAATAGAGTAATGTGCCTGGTG